GTTGTGTAAATCTGCAGGAAAAAAAACCATTAAAAACTTTCTCCATTGAGATATTTCTTTGACAGCTTATCAGCCTGTTTATCGATAAAGACGAAAGACCTATTAAATTATCTTAATTCGACAGGATGTATTTAGTCTGAGTTCTTCTATCTTAGAGGTTTCTGCGAGAAATATGGTGGCAAAATGGCAAAAAATCGCTAAGTGAGGTATATAGAAAGTTATCTGAACAACCACAATAGTATATTTATTATATATAAGTAACCATCCCTAATAAGTTTTGTCGTGGTTGTGAATGTGAAGAGGTGTAGAAATCCGTGTTTCATCTACGTTGTCAATGCCTGTTTTTGACCATTAGAAGATTGAAAATGCTTGGGATGTCATTTTTGACCGATCGGACAGATCTGTTAATCTTGAAATTTAAAATCTGAGTCAAGTTTATAGACTTTTCAGGTTAATTCACTTTTAATTGAAAGGAAGAAACGTGTCTTTCATTGGTTATCATTCTTTTAGCTAACCACTGCGGCCCTCTTGAGGAACTTCTTCATGGTAACCCATGGTAACATAATAGAAAAAAAGCCGCCACTCCAAACTGGTGTAACCTCCACTAATAGATCAAAAGACATCTTGCTTTTCAAATGAAGGTTAGAAGGCATTTAATTAAATAATATCAGACAAGATGTGAAGAAGTGAAGTTTTGAGAAAGTATTCTTTTTCTGATACATATTGAAGCCGGACTTTTATTTTACTTATTTTATTTAGAAGTCATCTTGATATTGCGAAGGAATTTCTGGTTAAAATGACTCGTCAAGTAAACTATCAGCAACCTCTGTATCATTGAAAACTACAAGTTTTAATTCTTCACACACGTAGCAGAGTCCTTCAGTTTTTTATCTAATTAATTGATTACAGACCTAGTCGTGAGCCTATAATAGTGTCGAGATTCACAGAACTGCATGGCTGAACCAGTTCTTGCAATGTTATCTGTCGATTTATTGTCATCAATTCTAATGAGACCAGGTATATATTACAACACTTTTATTATAAGATCAATGTCTATTTTTAGTGCTTATAATTGAATATATAAAGCATTATATAATGATGAAGTTAAGATGGTTTTGATATTCCTAAATCATCAGTCTAATATAAATAGATTAATTACTCGAGTTTATTTAAGGCAGCTCATTTTAAGAAGATACTTTAAATCATAACAATCTGCATATCTTTCAACTGAATCCTCATCTGAATAACTGGTTCTATTAAAGTTTGCAATAATTATGGCTAACAAAGTAATTTAGTACCCTGTCGAGCATAGCATTCCTTTAGACTTCTTTATTTAACATGATTTCGTTACAATGGATTCATATCTGGCAAGTTCGTTCTGGTGCTAAAAATGTCTAGTATCCAAAATACTTTAGTATTTACTTTTTGTGAAATATTCTGCAGTATAAAGTGTGATTAATCGACTATACATACCTTATTCACAGGAGAGCTAGTAAAAATATTTCTAAAGATATCTATAGTTGGTAGTCTCTGATAGATTACAACCTATTTTATCTGACTCGTTAGTTCACTTACTATCTAAGCAATGAATAGCTAGTATTTATAGTAACTCAGTAGTAGATAAATCACCATGGAAAACTTAGTGATGACCTTTTAAAAACTAATGCATTTAATTATCAGGAGTCTTTCTCTATAAGAGTCTTGATATCGAAACGTACATTTGCTAATCACAATAGGATGCTGACAAATGAAACATTGTGCTGAATGTATGTATATTTAGCCTTTATAAGTTGTAAATAAAAATATTGCTCACTTTCCAAGCTAATACAATAGTGTTTGGGTTTCGTTGAGTAAACTAGTAGTAATTGGAACGCACAAATATAAGATATTATTTAAATCCCAGAATTTTATTGGATGTAAAATTAATCTGCGTAAACATATTTCATTACAGATAACTTTTCAGTTTTTCAATATCAATTTTGGTATTTCCTTTTCTACCAAAATTGATTGACATTTAAACAAACTGTTTTTATTATTTACACACTTACACACAAATTGGAATATTATAAGCTCTTCCTGTACGCATTTCAAAAATAAATAATTTCCTTAAATTGGTTTTAAACCTCCGTCACTTATGTCTCATGTACCAAGTGTCAGAACACCTTTCGCCTCAGCTTCCATAAAATTGAAATATTTAAATGTCACTGTTCGCTTGTAAGTAATCACAGCCAAACAAAAATATACATAAATATTTCTGAAGTGCTTGTTCAGTGCTCAGAGAACAAAATGTAAATACAGGATATTTTTAAAAATTTTTGAATTTTGTAAAATAATACGATAAATGTTGTGTAATTTATACATAAAGGAAACGGCACGTGTAGAGCATTTTATCTCTAAATAAATATTTGTAATATTATATTTTCGAGTGTCCTCTAGTTGTCCTTTCTATATTTATGTTCAGATAAGCACCAGATTATCGCATCCATTAATATGCTTTGCCGTATCCTTGACGCATAACATATTATGCATTGCGGTATTTTGTAAAGGCATCTCGTACGGATACTTTTACCACCAACTGTTGTTGTTGGCACATTCCAACATCTTTTTAGCAGTTATTTTACAATATTTGCATTATGAACGATTTTCATCCTTGCTATGCTAGGATATTATGCTTCGTATATTAATATTCAATGAACATTTTACACATTTCAAATATTTCAACATAAGTAATCCTTGCTTAACTCATAAACTAAAACTGGCGTGCATTTTATCGGAAATTCTTCTATATAATTTATTTTCATTTTTTTAATAATTTGCAAAGAAACGTCGTCTTTTTTAAGTATAAAACGAAAACAGCACAATGTCCTTAATGTCCTTGTTTAATGCTTTGTTAGTCGGCACGAAGTATTTTTTCTTAGTTTTGCATTCTTCAAATGCATTTGGTGCTGCATTTTATTGGGTTGGCATTCTTTTCTCTGTGGAATTTTTTCTGCACTAAGTTCGATTTGTTGGCATATTGGCGTTTTGGCACATCCTTACATCCTCACATCCTTTAAACTCCTTTCTTCTATTTTAAGATGCAAATGAAAATCATGACTTGATTGTATTTGCACTGTCTTGTATTTTTAATATATTGAACTAGTTTAACAGTTTGTGCATGAAGTAGTCTTTGCCTTCCATTTAATGTATTCTGCTATTCTGCTGTGGAAAAAGAAAAAACTATTGAAATATTAATGAAGCATCAAATAGAGTGCAACATAAAATGGAATTGACAACTCTAAGAAAAAATGATTTTAAATTTATTTATAGTTAAGAATATTATTTCTGCAATTTTTAAAAGTATTTAAATCACTGCAAGATAGAAATATTTCTTTGATGATTTAGTAGTTAGTAGTAGTTTTAGTAGTTTTAGTATATTAGAGATTATACTGTTTTTCTAATCACTATCTAAAATGTTAGATGAGTAAAGATTAAATATTGTTATACCTATTACCAATTGTTAAATAATTTAAAATGGAAAGAAGGTCCCGCCAGTGTAGATTAGATATTTTTATTACTCTAAACAGTCCCTGGAGTTGTAGATCTTTAGATTATTCAGAGATCCTGACACACCAGACATACTGTAATTGTTAGGTTAGAAAAAGCAGAAACTAAAATGATGTAAAATAATGTTATATATGAAAAAATATTGTTAAAACAAAAAAGTTTTAGCTATTGGGTTCTGAGAAGTTAATTTCTTTACACTCAATCGTAACTGCTTTTATATCTGAGCATTAAAGTCACACAGAGAACTTATATCAGCCTACGATTTCAGCTAAATACCTATATTGTAGTTACAGTTTGCTTCTATTTTCTACAGTAGAAATATCTTGCCATTGAAATTAGACCAATAGATTATCTACGTACTATATAGCAATAATGGTAGGTATTTTGATTGATTAAGTTACTCGCGCATACACTTAAATTTTCCAATAAAGCAAACTATCTGGGTGTAACCCCTGCTAAAACGCTCATTTAAAACCCGCATGACATGAAAGCAAGCCACAAAAGCAAGGCATTCGTTTTTAGCCCCTTCACACCCAGCTCACGAATAAAATTTACAAATAAGTAGAAATGTGGAAACAATAAAACAGGCAGAAATCACTGCTAGTAGATTCCAAAAACTAATTCCAATGGGTGCCTATCGAACTATGGTTCAAGCAGGAATACATGTCATTGAAAAACATGCGAAGGAATACTCATATATTTCTAATAAAATGTAAGGAACATACAGTTATATATTGTGAGATAGTCAGGCGGTGACTGTAACGATTATCTAAAATATAATTAATAATTGTGTGAAACTTCTTAGTGCAGCGGAGAACATCAATACTATAGTGTTAGAGTGGGTCCCAGGGCATGACAGACATGAAGAAAATCAAATGACTGATTGTCTAACCGAGAAAGTCGCAAATATGCCTTTTCTCCTACGTTCTTTTCTGTTTTAACTAAAAGCCACTTCGATGATATGAAGAAATGGGAGGAGACCAAAATTGCAAACCACTGGCTTAATGATATAGACCAATAGCAAGCAAAATGAGAACTTACCTCAGCGAAAAGATTATCAAATAAGGAATACTTTTACTAAGCTTAAGGACACTGTTCTGTTATTTTACTGGTCACTACAAGCTGTGGTGATGTCTGTCGTTTTTGTGAAATGGAAATCGGATGTTCAAAGATTTCGCTACTCAAGTGGTAATGT